GATTACCAAGGCCCCTGGACTAGCATTGAAGCACCATATCATAAATCTGGACTTCTGAGCTTAGGAGCCTTATCGGGCATACGTTTGTACTTGTTCCTGGGCGGTTATGGTTTCGGGCTTATAAGGGTTTAGAGTTTAGGGTTTAGAGTTTAGCGTCTGGGGTTCCGCCCAACACTGAACAAACATCATGCGTAGTATGTCTCCAATACCAATAGTACCACCAATCAATCGCATCAGTGTTGCTGACAACAATGGCCTGAAGCTCTGAACGCTGAATCCTAAACCCTTGTCCCTTAGCCCGAAAGCTTGGAACCAAGGTTTGAGACCTAAACCTCGTAAGATGATCTGCGATACGGTTGATACCTACTGCAGTATCAGCAGTAAGACGCTGGAGTTTATGTTTCTCGTTCGGGGCAGCTCGGGGTATACCTTTTTTCGGAGACTTAGGGGGCGCCTAAGGCACTGCGAGATTTTTTCCATCAGCTGCCTCCTCATCAAGCCCCTCTCAGAAACACGCTCGTCCCCATACTTAAAACCCGCAGCTTAGACTGGAAGCCGAAGCTCCAGCTAGAGCACTTTACCACGATACTGAGGTGGGCGTTCTCTGGCTCAGGTCGTCCCACATCTGCAGGACAACAGTAAGACCGCCTGTTGCTTAGGGTTTCAGGTCTTGGTAGTTTTCATTGGTTATGCTCCAGGGGTCCAGGCTTCACACCCTGAGCCTTCAATTCCCCGAACCTTCTTGCCCAAAAAAGTCAGGGTTTACATCAACAGAGTTTGGGTTGCCTTCAGCCCGCAGACCCATCCCAAGTGACTTCTTTCCAAGAGAAGCTAGACCCTAACCGTAAGATGTTATAGTTGCGACTCAAGGTCCTTGCTTGTTTCAGCACTGTCATCTGCATGCTCTTGAGGTTTATGAGGTTGCATAGGGTCGATTGTAGGTTGTTTTCAGAGTTTTCAAGGTTTTTATTGCTGGAGACCGTTAAGCTCTCAGCCACCCCAGACAGTCAAGAAAAGCCTTGAAATCCTCAACCGTAAACGCGAACGTGTCAGCCTCCAGCAGTAAGCTTTACACAGTAAGTCATAAAGGCCCTTAGCAAACCTTATATACCTTCTACCAAAACCCAAACCCCTAAAGCACTAAAGGCCCAAGGACTACTGGTAACACCCTAAACTTTCAAAGCCCTAAAGCCCTAATCTCTAAACCCTAAGCCCTACCTCAAGCCCTAGACAGGACCGCACCGTTGGAGACGGTGACTGATGGAGGCTTCCGGTGAATAGCTGTACCTGCCTCCATCTATGCAGCTATTGCACCAGTCAAATCATGATCCTGAACCCTGAAGCTAGGATCAGAGCAACACGGTTTCTGCGATTTACGGTAGGACACACACACACACACACACCCGCGCGCACAGAGGCATCTGTGAGCTTGGTCATCGTAAGAAGGCGAAGAACGGCTCTGACAGCTGGCGGAGGCTAGGTAGTATAGGAGTCGGAAATAGTAAGAAATTACTGTATTCCTTAAATAAGCCTACCGTTCACTGTCTTGGGGTTGGTGTACATAGGGTTCAGGCACTGTGTCTGTTGGTCGGCTTTTTATTCCGTACTTGAGGACCAAGACCCGAACACCGTATTGAAACCTACCGGACCTACTCCGTACGGAATGACCTTGGCTTGGACCAGGTTCGAGAGGCAGATAAGTCCGTTTGTGTGTTGCCAGCCGCAGCCACACTAAGCCCTCATCATGAGGCACCATTCCGCGCTCGAACGCTTGGCAGAACCGGGGTTTGTGGAAAAGAGCTGGGCCCACGCCTTGCGCCGTCGATGGCGTTCAGTCTTGCAGATAAAAGTGCAGAGGTTGTGCTTTTGTTTTGTGCTGCACATGGCGTGGGTTTCAGAGTGTCTTGCACAGCCCTCTCGCACACAGGAAGAGCTGATCCGGTAAACATCAAAAATGTGGTTAGTTACAGAAGAGTAGGTGTCCTCTCGGTTCTTTCTGGTCTGGCTACGGAGCCATTTCTCCCAAGTTTTGACCCATGAGAGCCGCGCAGAACCCGGGAAAGCCTGCCCAAAATGTGTCGTGATGTTCGTTGCTAATCACATTCCTTTCCTATTTCGAGGGGCAGGCCCCGTGATCGGGGAGTTTCTCTAAGCCCTCCTTGAATGGTGCAATACCTGTACTGTGCCGGAATATGCTGGCCAGTCGTGGGCTCAGCTGTCAGGGGTGGCATCTATCTATCTAGTCTTTGTCGGGAGGCTAGGGTTAGGATGTGGGTCCAGGGCTTAGAGGTTTAGAGGTTACGGTTTTGAGCTTAATTCGGGTCTTAGGATTCGTTGTGGCTTGTCCTCATCGCAAGGACTGCGCCTCCCGGGTAGAGTTGAGGGCGGGTATGAGATGGCATGAGGTTCAGGGATCGTGTTGCAGTTGGTCTCTTCTGCCAGGGAAGGCTTTTCTGGAATTTCGATGGGTGTAGTCTGGTCCTATTCCCGAAATGCTGAATCCTAAACCCTAAGCCCAAAACCCTAAACCCAAAACCCTAAACCCTAAACCCCAAAACCCTAAACCCTAACACCCTAAACCCTAAGCTGAAGGCTCCATCTGCATGGGCTCCCCCAGGAACGGGTTTTCTGGTCCTTATTGCCATAAGCCGCATAAATTTGCGAATGTCCAGTGCAGGAAGCCGTTTCATCCAAACTCCCTGCAAGTAGAAGCCTTCTGGATTCAGCATTTGAGGCTTTAGGGTTTGGGGGCTTCTACGGTTTAGGGTTTTGCGGTTTAGGCTTCACGCCCCTTGGGCTGCAGGGTGCTTAGGTTTTTGGGCCGTGCAGTAGTGTTCTGGGGCATGGCACTTCTTTCTGACAGGTGATCCCTTTTAGGGTGTCGGAGTCCTGCGGGCTTCGACTGCACGGTTATGTGATGCTTTGGAAGTCAACCACTCGCACCAGCGAATTTCCAGCTTCAAGCGCCCAGCCGTACCCCACCCATCCCCAAACCTCTCGCGGGACTTGATCTTTTCTTAGTGGTGCTCTGCTCAAGTCCCCCGGAAGCTTTAACACGATCCGAATTCGAGAATCCGAATCCCAAAACCCTTCAATCGCCTAAACGCAAAATAGCTGAAACAATAGAGTAGGGTTCATGCGGTTTCACAGGGAATTGTGGCGTTTAACACAGGCTGCTTACGAATGGAAGTGGGCTTGGGTAGTATAACGTTGCTTTGTCCGTTCAGTTTTCTCGTCATTGAACATCTGGCACTAAGATAGTTATGTTGCCAGTATGAAATGGTGGCTGAAAGAACATACATACATGCACACACGCAAACACACGAAAACCCATATGTGTACATGTGCATAATGTCGTGTGCCCGGCATGCATGTGTAAAAATTTAGCATTTACATGTAAACGCCGAGCCCCGTACCCATGCGAGCTGCTCCAAGGTCATGGCAAGAGCTGCGCGGAAATCCTCTATAATGTGCAGCTGGCAGACAGCCCTCAGCATAGACCTGGGGATAGTGTAAGCCAAGAACATGTGGCCACCGTTAGAGTGCCACAGATGTTCGAGGCTATGCATAATTGCTGTTGCTACGAGTACGCCAACGATTACTACTACTTCTTGTTAATTACTACTTCTACTGCTACTGCTAGTGCCATTATTATCGCTAACTAGTACGACAGAGAATCGCAGTGTGTGTGTGTGTACACCCTGATTCTAAGCTCAGGGTTTGTGGGACCTTTCCAATTTGTCAGCAGCAGGGGGATGGAGCAGGCCTGTGGAGCTCCATCTAACAAAGCTCTCCACAGCGCCCTGAGGATATCATCAGGGACGCCTGGTGACGTACCTGTGTTTGTAATGGCAACCAGGCAAAGCCAAAAAAACTGGCAAGCCGAGGGTTTCATTGAACGTGAATTTGAATCATTGTCAGGATGTTCAGGACCCTAAGGTAGATTCATCATCTTTTACTTCAGGTTATTCATTGGAACGTGGTCATCTTGAAGCGACTTATGTCGATCAAACTGTCCGTGTGTGGCCTTGTTGCCAACGGCAAGACTCGCTCCTGCGAACTGCCTGCGCGCGTTGTGCGGCTTGTTATGGCTATGGTACCGAAAGAGCCGAACTCCTTCGGGACAGGCTAATGGAGCGAACAGCACTTAAAGGTGACCTCCTTTGTCAGGTGATAGGTCTGATCGCTCAACAGGAGCCCCAAGTGAATGGTGCCCGGATTCACCAGGAGATGGGCTTTCCGGGCCAAAAGGTCGAATCAGTGGGAGCGTGGATGTGAGCATTGAGCAGTGTCAGCTCATGGAACATGGTAGCATCTCGGCTTTGTACTGCATTTGTTGGTTTGTAGCCTGCTATCATGGAGCCTGCGTTTCATTCTCCAGTGGACGCGCCCGCCTGAGAAGTTCCTTTGCCGGACTTTGGATGTCAGGGAATCGACATTCCCGAAATTCCGCAGGATCATACAGGACGGGACATTCCTTCGCCGTCCTCTCGTTCTAGCACTTCGGAATTTCCTTCGGACGAAAGGTGCAAGTCTATTGAGCCGGCATGTGAAAAGTCTGTTGAACTTCATCCTGGAGGACCCAGGAGGGTTCCTAAAGAGTCGGTGGGAACTGCCCTGTTAGAGAAGAGACGCCGACAGAACATGTTGGGAGCCATTGAGGTTGCAGGCGGTCGAGTGGAAGCCACTGGTAGCCAAGAGGCAGCAGCTACCGACAGTGTAGCTGAAGGCTCAGACAACAAAATGGAGGTGGACACGGACGAGGCCGCGGATTCATCAATTTTGTTTGATGAAGCAGACAAGGCAGTATCTGTGGCTACCTTGGTGTCAGCTCGGCTTGCTGAGCCCGTGCAGGAGACTAAGCCTCGACAGGACCTTCGAATTCCACCGCCACCAAAGCCAGTACGTGTTCAGGGTGTTCCATCGTCAAGCATCGAATGTACCCCCCCATGGCCCCTCCACAGTATGTTGGGGATCCTCTTCTGACGACCAGCGGCCAGGACGTGCATACTGAACTGACTTTGTCTAGAGCAGTGGGTGGTGCAGTTAGTGTTCAGCTGAAAAGCTGGCAAGCCAAAGTGATCCTGAAGTCGGCATCGCAGAAGCAGATCGACCGTAACATCAGTGCTCTGACTGATCTGTGCAGGGCGAAGGGAGCTCAGCTCCCACCATTATTCGAGCTACAGTTTCTTGCAATGGTGATGTGCCAATACACAGGAGACACAACTCGGATGTTTGATCGAGTCAAGTGCCTGGAGTCTAAAGCACATGCTTACTAGTCTGTCGAGCTGCGCGAGCCTTTTGTTCCACATCAGGGCCTTTCTTCTGAGCAACATTGCTTTGCTCACTGTTCGGACACGACAGGAATTGAAGGCATGAATCATTCCCGCTTCATAGCTCCGGCTACCATAGCGGATGGACCCAATGCTGTCGGGCATTGCTCTCAGGCTACAACCTGGAACGATGACTCATCCTTCATTCAGACTCTGGATCGCGTCACAAACTCGGCTAAGTGGCAATGTCCAGTGATCACCCACGGCTACACCAGTATACCAGGAGAACATTATGTTCTCAGGGCTGGAGAAGCGCAGCAACAGTGTTTGATTCATGGGGTGGTTCACTTTAAACGGGGCCACAAGTATGTCATGCGCAGCGCCAGATCTACGATCGCAGGTTTCACAGTGGCTGTTGTTAAACAATTCACCCCTTTTCGAGATGCATCAGGCCGTCCACTTTTTCAGGTTCCTCTGACGCATGCTCAGCAGATCCAGCGAGGTGTGGACAACTGATTCGCTTTGCGCCGGTGAAAATTTCAGGACACCTGCTATGCATCACATGTCTTAAATCGACAGGACTAGGGTTGCTGCACTGTGATGGCTTTTGCTGTTCATGGTGAGTTTTGGCCGTCAGTCTGTTCTGTAGCTTCTCTCAGCCATGTCGGGTCGACAGGATTCTCGATCTAGGACCCCTGTCGGGTCCTACAGACGATGCCAAGACTTTTCGTCGTCGGGACGAGTATCCCGCCATCGGTCGCGCTCCAGATCACCTTTGCATAGACAGGGACCTTCTACTAGATTTTCGAGGTCATGGCAACAATCGTCTCGAGAGTATGACACCAACAGAGTGTATGGATTGACTCTTCCGAAGTCTGTGATGTCTAACAGACTTACTCGACAACAGGGTATTGCAGGCATGGACATCTTTGATGTTCCTCTTTGTAAGGTGGTTTCGGGAGCACAGGAGAACTGGGCATTACGGCAGGTGGCACATGGCCGCACGGTTCAGTGGGAGAACTTTCGGTCCAGACAGGAGGCCATCTTCTGCGGAGTGTTGACGTGGGCGCTTAGGTCAGACCAGGCCGAACAGGAGGGTACTGATTTTGTTACCGTTCTCAATGCTTCTCAAAAGAAGTTCTTTCCCGAAGCTGACATTCATGATTGGAATGCTCGCTACAACACAATCAAGAAGTTGGCTGACGATCTTGTTCGGGACTTGCGGAAGAAAGCCCCAGTGAGTACCAATCAAACTTTGTTGATGAGGCTTCAGACTTTGGAATCGGAGAATGCTCGGCTTGAGGGTCAATCGTCACGTCCGTCTCAGCCGGAGCCCAGGCAGGCGCAGCGGAAGGGCAGGTCCCGACCAAGGCCAAGATCCGCACCGGTAGCCATGCCTGTTAAGGAAAAACAGCCGGAGCACCAAGATGATGCAGACGCGGCAGCATTCGGATCAGCGCCGCCAATCCTTGAGGGCGATGTTGAGTCTCCAAGTGTTGAGGACGAGCGTGAACCAGGACCAGCCGCGCCAGAGGACACCTATGCGCAGCACTTGCCACAGTCGGGTAGTGTTCGTTTTCTTGAGAACTGCAATTTGCCAGGCACCAGTATGAAGCATATCAATAGCTGGCTTGCATCAACCGCTTTGGGGAAAGGGAAGAACAAAGCTATTGACACCGCTGTTGCTGAGTTCCTTGCGGCGTGTGCTAAGATTGATGATGGCTACAAAAAACCAGCGGTTCGGATTGCAGTGGAGTGGGGCCTTTCAGTTACAACCGCAGCCAAGCTCAGTGAAGTGTGCTTGACTCGATTGATTGCAGGAGCTTATTTGTTAGCTTCGGGAGCACTCCACAGCACCGAAGAAGAAGAGGCGACAATTTGTCGTCACATTTCTCCATTGGTTTTCATTAAGTCTCCCTGTGCTTTACCTTCGTTTGCCACACAAAACAGTCGACAGATTCATGTGGGTTCGATCCTACATTTTTTCATGTGCTTTGACATCCACTTCTTTGCCCTGCTTTTCCAGGATTTTCTGTCACATTCGGGATTTGATGACTCAGGTTCCTGTGGAGTATCCATGGGAATGGCACCAACAGGAGCCCATGGTGTACTTACGTGTTTGGCTTCACCATGGTGCTTATCATGAACTTATCTTGAGCAACAGGAATGTCTTTCTTTCCTTGTATCGGCGCAGGGGCAGGGACAGTTTGCAGAAGTTTGAAGAGTCTCGTAAACTGCGATCGCATTCTACACCATTACAGACCGTCTATCTTCGATGCAGGTTGGTGAATGTCATCGATGAACCTTTCAGGACCAGAGCTGTTAATCAGCTCCGACTCATCCTTGAATCTCGGAAAGGACATTATCCTCCAGTGAATGTACCCATCAGACTTCCACCGATGGCACATGATCTGTCATGTGAAGTTCAGCATCTTCTTCGTTTTATTGTGCGGAGTGAGAGAGTGAACTTTCCACCGCTTCATCTGCCCTCAGTCAAGATGGTGGAGATCAAGGCCCGACCTTGGTCTTGTATGGTGTTTAACTTCAGGCAGTTTTTGCGGACTTGGGCACCAGGCAAGCCACAGGCGTGTACTTGTCGGACATGGTACAGAGCCCATGCCAAACATCTGTTTGCACCGGTTCGAGAGATTCTTCCGTTCTCTCCATTGGCGAGTCTTTTCTTGAACGACGCAACTTATGCTTCGGGTAAAGAATGGAAGCGCGTTGCCGATAGGGAATTCCACAAATGGTGCAAGAGGTGGCGCATGCCTGACAATGTACGTTCAGGACTGGAACAATGGCGTCAACAACAGTTGGTTTTGCATCGTCAGGCCTTGGACGACGACGGACTCGGTAGGACGGTTCGGCAGGACTTACAGAGTCTACAAGGTTTGGTCTTTACTCCGGCTGATCATTTTCCACACTCACTTCATGTAGCCTGTCCTTTTGCCTTTCATGAGCTTTTGGACAAAACGTTTCTGGGTGATGCAGTCTTTACGCGGTGCACTGTGGGTGCATCGTCTATCATCACCAATCTCAAGCCTCACTTTCAGTCGTTTCCCAAATGGACTGTGAGATATGCCTGGGGATGCAATTCGTCAGCATCTCTTCCAGTAGCCCGCGTTCTGCCGCTTAAAGCCAGGCCGATCATTGCATGTGATTTCTGTTGGCGTACAAGGCTGACGGTTTTTCTGGCGAAAAGTGTATTCCAGCTCATGACCACTGCCTTTCCAACAGGTTCCACTTTCAACGCCCTGTCCATTCAGCAGGTTATGCGTGCCATGTGGCACTCCATGATGTCTTGTCCAGCCGTGGAATCGTACAACAGGACCTTATTGGCTTCTTCAACTCTGTACCACATTCACGCATTCTGCAGGCACTTGAGTTCATGCTATATTTTGCTTCTGGAAAGGTGGGGACAACATTGGCAGGAACAATTTCTGCAGTTGTCCGTCCGCAACAAAGATGCAGACGTGGACGATGCAGGTTTGCTGCACGCAATACCAAATCTCTGCATCTGGTGGACCTTCCGTTTTGATTGATTTCATGCTGCAGTCCAGCTTCTCTCAGTGCGGCATCCACACCTGTAAGCGAGTCCAAGGAGCCAGTATGGGATCGGCCTTAGCACCTGCCGTGTGTACGTTGGTTGCTTCTGTCACAGAATTTCTGTGGCTACACAATTTTCGCATGGCGACCCACAACATTGGTTTACGAACCGCAGTATGTTATGCTGACAATTGCGCACAACCCGTGGACTCGTTGACTGCTCAGCTTGGCATTTCATGGTGCTCCCATCTTGCTTGAGAATGTTCCTGAGGGGCAGTTTTTAGGAACCATCTGTTCAGTGATACAAGGCACGATCACTACAGTATAACCCAGTGATCCCACGGTACTTCGTACCCTGCAGTCGGTGGGCAGAAGGGAAGATGTTTTTTCAGGCTTTTCAGCGAGGACCTTGACGATCATCAGACTCGCCCGACCTTTGCGACTGATACGACCTCAGGTGGAGGACTTAATTTAAATCTACCAAGGTCGGGGCTTTCCTCGTAGATGTCTTGTACAGATGGCGCATCATCTTTTAAAGTCTGTTGGCGTTCACTTTGCACAGTGAGACATGCAACTTTGGACTGCGCTTTCTCTCTCTCTCTCTCTCTCTCTCTCTCTTGCTGTATGTTCAAGAACGACAATAGATTCAATAGATTTGACAGGACAGGACAGGACATTTGTCTGACAGGTGGTTTGTGCTCAAGTTTTCTAGACAACATGTCCGATTCAGACGATGTTCATTTGTCGAGTGCGTATGCTGATTCCATATCGATGGACAGTCGCAATTTTGAGCTCAACTCGGAGTACATGGACGTCAGTCGAGATTCTGAACTTGGATCAGGCTCCATCGACTCTGAGGTTCATTATGAACCCAACTCAGCCTCCGTCGGAACAGATTTCGAAGGACTGTCTTTGACCAGTTCCGAAGAAGAGTCGGAACCAATTCTTGATGAGTCAATCAAACCATCAGGCACAGCATCTTCGTCAGCCGATCCGACACCTTCGACAGTACAGGGGAAACAGGCTCTGTTAGTGAAGAAACGTCGTTTCCGCATGCTGGACGAGACAAGGGCGGAGCGAAAATCAAGTTTATTCCGTGCCCAAAGAAACAGTTTCTTCAACGCATGGAAGCCACCAATCTTAAGGTGCTCAATGATGATTTCTACATCCCAAATAGGGCACAATTAATACTCGCTTTTTTGAAAAACGAGGAGACCGACTTGTGAAAGAGAAGCCGGGAACCCCGAAACGTTTCTCTAATACGCTTGAACTAGCTCAGCATGTGTTCCAGGAATCTGAGAAGCATCCTCGCTAAGTCGAGTCGCTGAGTTGTGGTGGAAACAGGATCAGGACCACATTGTGAGTTGCACACATGTTCTTTGAAGCATCAGCATGTCAGGACCGCTGAGTGCATGTGATTTGAAGCTTTGTTTGGAAGTGCTGCAGTGACTGATCGAGACAAAGAGGCTTTTTCACTCTGCACCGGTAGCCATGAGTTGATGATGAGAGACACACAGTGGAGGGTCAATCAGGCATCGGTACCACAATTGCTTGAGTTGCTTTGGCAGATCTGGGACATTCTCAGCAGGAGGCTTCGCTTTTCAGAAGGCCCTGTTCGCTGCCGTCATCAGTGCCAATGGTGTGAAAACACGCGCTGCCACCATAGCCATTCACAGACCGTGGAAGATCGCCACAACTGGTACGGTCCGCATGTGTGTTTTCTTCATGATGAGGATGGTTACCGACACTTGTAGGAAGTCACGCACAGGTTGACTGCTGCGCTTGCGGATAAAGACTTTGACCACAGGTTTTTGCTCATGTTCATGATGACGTCAGGACTAGGTCTCTCTCTGTCTCTCGTGTGCAGGTTGAGTGCAGGACGCGTGGCATAGAGCGACATGGGGTGACTGAACTTTTCTACAAGCACAGTGGCCATACCTTTTTGCTCAAGCCATACCGGGACTGTGGAGTCTGAGACATGTTGACAGGAGGATTTACAATGCAGTGATTATTTGGCGTTTCGCAGGTTCGTGGTCCCCTCGAATGAGGCGTGTGTGTGTGTACACCCTGATTCTACGCTAAGGGTTTGTGGAGATCTTTGCAGGGGGATGGAGCAGGCCTGTGGAGCTCCATTTATAACAAAGCTCTCCACAGTGTCCTGAAGATATCAACAGGGACGCTTGGTGACATACCTGCGTTTGTAATGGCAACCAGGCAAAGCCAAAAAAACTGGCAAGCCGAGGGTTTCATTGAACGTGAACTTGAATCATTGTCAGGATGTTCAGGACCCTAAGGTAGATTCATCATCTTTTACTTCAAATTCTCCATTGGAAAGTGGTCATCTTGAAGCGACTTTTATTATGTCAATCAAAATGTGTGTGTGTGTGTGCGCGCAATGGTGCCTGAGCTTGTGAGGTTACCGAGGCCTGCAGGGCTCAACATAAAGTTTAGGACTTGTTGTTTGCAAGCTGTAGGCTTGTAGCCTTCAGGGTTTGGAGAAGTTTGGGCCTAATTAATCTTTAGGATATTATGGATGCATGCAGCACGATGTTTAGAAGGATTTCGTGAATCTGCACGCAATGCTGCATTTCACTATGGGGCTAGTCGGGTGTACTCTGAACTCTTGGCTTAAGCCTTATATGGTCGGCTCGTTTGGTTCAGGAACTAGGGTGTAGAAGGGGTATAGTTACAAGTTTACAAGGTTAAGGACTTTGGGCATTGAACAGATCGAGATTGTCAGTTTGAGGTTCGAGGGCTGTCCAGTCGACTGCACAACAATCATTGCATTGGTATCCGAGAGTGGACGACTTATCCAACACTTTTCTATCGTCCTTATGAGTGAGGGGTGGCATTGTGTCTGTACCAACGGCTCAGACTTGTTTTATGTAGTTTCAATCAACAGTGGAAGTGGCAGTGCTGGTGTTATTGCTGGTAGCAGCCGTAGTCATTGTCGCAGCCGCGATCGTAGTCGTCGTGTAGCAATAGTAGTAGCAGGAGCAGGAGAAGCAGTAGCAGTAGGTGTAGGAGTGGGAGACTAGGATGAGTAGGAGAGTAGGAGAGCAGGAGGAGCAGGAGCGGCAGCCGGAACAGCAGTCGTGGTCGTCATCATCGTAGCGGTAATGGAAGTGGTAGTGGTGGTGGTAGATAGCAGCAGTGGTAGTGGTAGTGATAGTGGTAGGGATAGTGGTAGCATCATCATCATCGCCATCACCTGTATCAGTAGCAGTTTTCGCTCACCTACAGTAAATGCAATCTATTTGTCGCAGCAATGGTATAGAAACTGAAGTTGTCATTGTTTTGGTCGGAGTTGTTGTCGTTCGCGGAAGAAATAGTAGCGACGATACGTAGCGCAAGGCCTTGCCACAGGTCTGCAAAACCGAAAGGACGTCATACGCTTCAGAGGCAAACAACTAGTGGTAGTGCTCCCGTATATTCTCTTGTCATCTTTCCGCCAACCTGTTTTGACTATTTTGGTAGTACAAGCCCGCAGCAACTTGGTCACTCCTGGGGCCTCAACAGACATGCTGCCACACCGCGCTTTGAGGGCCGCGTTGTGCTAAGATTTTACGACGCAAGTCATGTGTCAAGTGTTTGCTTGCCTGTGTACAATGCAGGGCTTGCTGCCCGGCAAGATATTCGCAGCCTCATCTAGCTCAAGATTTCCAATGCCGCGCCTCAGGAAATGCGGGTCGATGGAATCATGATCCCCAAGCAGAGCTTGTCGAGCTTTGCGATGTTGTGACGAATCGTTTTTTGGCCTTGTGGGGCAGGCATGCTGTGGTGTATGAGGATAATTTCGGCATTCCAGGCTTCAGGAGTTTGTTTGGTGC